GCTGCACGAAGCGACCCGAGGAGCACATGTGCTGTCCGCAGCAACTGTCCAAGAACCACGTGTCCTTCCCGGATGGCTCGCTTTGAGCGATGGCTGCGTATGTTGGGTTTGGCTGAAGTGTCTCGCGACGAGGTGTGGTATCTTCGAGTTGTTCTTCCGGTGAGTAGTACGGTGGTGATTCCGTGATGCAGGAGTCGGTCAGTCTTGCCATGCAACTGACGATGTTTCTTGCTCCTTGTGCAGGTTGTCCTGTTGATGTTGTTGAAGTTTGAACCTGAGTGGTGGGGTTTGCTTGTGTTGAAGCGACTTGACAGCTTGAAGGTCGAAGCTGTCGTTGTGGAGGCGTTGACTGTTGTCGATTCGGGCAGTGCGTGCGCGGGTGTCCTGAAGTCTTGCAGATGCGGCGGAACGGAGGTACGGGCTTCGGTTGTTGTCGGTTGTTGTTGTTGTTGTAGCGTCGCTGGGTGTGGAAGGCGAATTCCGGTGCTGATGTCTTTTTCTTGTAACGTTCTTCTTGCAGGTCCATGTCTTGCTGCTCGGCGTGGATTTCGGCGCAGAGCGCTGCTTCGGAGATTCTTCCGTGGGCTCGGAGGATAGCTTTGGTGGCGCGCCATTGAGGACCGAGGCCGCCGATGATGACCGTCACGAAGGCGTCTTCAGATATCGTTCCTCCGCATTGAAAAAGCTTGTCGCGCAGCTCGCGACATCGGCTGATATACGCCATTCCCTTCTCGCCTGGTTTCATTTCGACTGTAGTCAGTTGCGCCATTAACAGACTATGATTTACGCTGTCTGTTGCTTGATACAGGTTCTTCAAGTGGCTGTATGCGAGCTCGGCAGAGTTGCCGTATCCCCGGTAAGATCGTCTATTCTGCTGCTAAGTCGGTGTGATGTTCCTCAGTAGGATTGTGTACGCCATCATTGACTGATAGGTGTACTGCTGCTTCTCATACTGTGTACCGTTTGTTGGGTATGGCAGGGACCCGTCGAAGAAGCCAAGTATCTGCGCGCCTTCCATCATCAACTCGAACCGTGTTGAACTATATTGATATATGTTCTTTATGATTGACTGCAATGTAGAGTGTAGCACATCCCAACTTGCTGTAGGTGGTGCACCATGCTTCTCCTTGCTATATCTTGTACTCATGTTTCTTAGTGAAACCCTTCCTTTGCCTAACTATCTCTTGCCTAGCTAGGTAAACCCTAGCTATGGCTTCTTCCTCTAGCTACTATTGTGACATGTTATCAGAGCTCGTTATGTCCTGGCCTGTGGGCCCCTATTATGCTTCCGCTGCTGTGCCGCGCGCTCGGGGCGCGCGGCGTTTTTTCTTCCCGCCGCGCGCTCGGGGCGCGCGGCGGTTTTCTGCCCCGTCGGCATGCGGTCCCCCCCCCCCCCCCGCTTTCCCCGTCGCGGCATCCTGGGGAGCCGCGCGCGGCCCCCCGCTGCCCCGTCGCAGCGTTCTGGGGAGCCGCGCGCGGCCCCTCGTTTCCCCGTCGCGGCGCCCTGGGGAGCCGCGCGCGGCCCCCCGCTGCCCCGTCGCGACGCCCTGTGGAGCCGCGCGCGGCCCCCGTTTCCCCGTCGCGGCGCCCTGGGGAGCCGCGCGCAGCCCCTTACTGACTCGTCGCGGCGCCCAGGGGAGCCGCGTGCCGCCCCAGGGGACGCGCGCGCCCGTCCCCCTGGACCCACGCGCCCCTCCCCTGGACCCGCGCGCCCCCCCCGGGGACCTCCGCGCTCGCCCCCGTCGACCCGCGCGCCGCCCCTGCTGTTTCCCGCGCTCCTGCCTGCGTTAGGGTTTGGGGGTGGCGGGCGTGGGGGTGCACGGTATGGGTAACCTGCAGCTCCTCCTCCTCCTTCGTCTCCCACTGCTGCAGCTGCCGCTGAGGGGGGTGGGTGTGTGGGAGCCGAGGGTTTAGGGTTTAAGGGGGGTGCCGTGGGAGTGGAGCTCGGGGCACAGCAAGGGGTGTGTGACATGGGGGTGGGACAGTTGGGGGAGGTTGTGCGGAGGCTGCCGTCTTGTCGTCCGCAGCACCTGTAGTCCGGGGCGCTGTCCTGGTAGCCCAGAGAGCCTGCTGCGCCTGTCGCCCGTGGGTCCGTTGCTCCTGCCGCTCGTCTTAGCCGCGGAGCCTGTTACTCCAGTAGTCCGGGGCGCTGTCCCGGTAGCCACTGTGCCAGCCGCTCCTGTTGCCCGTGTGTCTGCAGCTTCAGCAGTCGCCTCCCATCTCTTCTCCTCTCACAGTCACTCCTCCTCCTCACTTCGCCTCTTCTTCTGCTGCGCCCTGCAGGGTGTACCACTTCAGGGGGTGTTCTGTACATGGTTCTCACTGCAATCAATTAGGGGGTGTGTTGAACTATATTTATATATGTTCTTTATAATTGATTGCAGTGTAGAGTGTAGCACGTCCCAACTTGCTGTAGGTGGTGCACCATGCTTCTCCTTGCTATATCTTGTACTCATGTTTCTTAGTGAAACCCCTCCTTTGCCTAATTCTCTCTTGCCTAGCTAGGTAAACCCTAGCTATGGCTTCTTCCTCTAGCTACTATTGTGACAACTCGAACGACCAGGTGAAGAAGTCCTTCCATCGAAAGGCCTCGATGTCTGCAGCTTCAAAACGTGCGCGAACTACGACTAAACTTGCAATGCGTCCAGTGGCTTTTCTTGTCCAGGTGAAGGCTGCGGGTGCGGCATGAAGCTGATGGACCCGCGCTCGTACGGAGCAAAGGTAGGCTGCTGCTGTTGATTTCCTCGTGCGTACCATGAGCCATCAAGACTCATAGGAGTAACTTCGTTGTTGTTGCTGTTGTGTGACTGCGCAGATCCCGATTGCTGGTGTTGCTCGTAGAAGGACATGAAGGAGAAGAACTTCTCCATCATGCTCTGGTCGAAGCTGGCAAGTTGACTTGCGGGAGTCTCGGTAGACGTTGCCCTAGGTCTAACTGCCGTGCCCTCCTCTGTCTGTAGGCCAGAGGCAGGAGGTGGAGTAGGAGTAGTGCCCTGGGAGCCGTTAGAGGAGCTCCTTTCCTTTTGTGTTGCCATGTCTTGTGATGACTTGATAGTAGTTGAGTTCCCCTTGTGAGCTCTCATACCATGTTGGGCTGAGAAAAAGCCCTTAGGATCTTTGCAAGGGTGAACTCTGGGTAGGAACAGTTGTAATAGCGGAAGCGTTCTAATGAAAACATTGAACCACCTTGCGCTAGTATGCGAGGGCAAAGTAGATTGATTAAAACAAGGAGATACAATATTATATAAGAGTTCAAGGAATATGAAGAGATAACTGTTTTACTGTTTGCTGTTGCGGTTCGATACAGTGACGACTCGGGCAACTGCTCTGTAGCGAGTCGGTTGTGTGTCCTTGCTGTCGCACTGTACTTGTCAGGTCAAAGGTCGCTGACCTTTGACTTTCGCGTAACCTCCAGCAGTTACTTTCAACCTCCGAAGGTTGACTCGCTAGTGCTTCGGTATGCTTTGCTTGTGCCTTAGTGTTTCGACACGACAGAGGCGCTTAGAATTAATTGTTTCCAGCAAATGAGACTTGTTGAACCACCTTGCGCTAGTATGTGAGGGCAAAGTAGATTAATTTAAGCAAGGAGATACAAGAATATATAAGATTACAAGGAATATGAAAATATATAGCTATAACTGTTTTACTGTTGCTGTTGCGGTTCGATACAGTGACGACTCGGGCAACTGCTCTGTAACGAGTCAGTTGTGTGTCCTTAAGGCGGGTCCCAAAAGTACGTAACCAGTTTTGGGACCCTGTTTTACGTAAAACGAAACGTACAGCTGCGTGGTACAAATACGATTCTGTAAACATCATTACGGAAAATTCCGAAGTCAAAAAAATTGACAGAGAATTGTGGTTCTTCAGTGCCGCGACTTGTAGTCTAGATCTCGACCTGTTACTAGGTCCACACTGCTGCGAACCCCCCCCCCCGTGAGTTTGCGACAGCAGGGCGAGTTCGCCCAAGGGTGATGTGGCGAATAAGAAAGTATTTGCTTCCTGTTCAATCTGTTTCAGCGACGTGAAATGCTGTATCTCTCGCTGTTTGTACAATACGCACACCTAGTTGAGCAGCGCGTCAGACATTTTTGTACAGTCTGGCGCCGTGTCCAGATGAAAGGATTGGCGACTGGCGAAAAGTTAAATTGTGGTTACTTTTCACCTTTTGAAATGTTTTTGTACTTTCGGGACCCGCCCTTACTGTCGCGCTGTATTTGTCAGGTGGGAGGTCGCTGAGCTTTGACTTTCGCGTAACCTCCAGCAGTTGCTCAATCTCCGAGGGTTGACTCATCGGTGCTTCGATATGTTTCGCTTCGCTTGTGACTTGGTGTTTCGACACGACAGAGGCGCTTAAATCAATTGTTTCCAACAATTAGGATATCTAATGATTCAGTAAATTTTTACCAGAATGCTTTATACTCTGTATGAAAGTTCTAGGTGGATTTCAAGCAGACCGATTTAGGTCGTATCAAACCTCGTTGAACCCCACTTACACCACTCATGCCTACCCCCAACCTCCCCATCTGCAACTCACCCCGTCAATCGTGCGAAAGCCAGTAGTAGTCAGCCCGCGGCAGTTGGGCTTACGAGGCGGGCGGCATGGGGCGGCCGAAGCAGAAGAAGGCGCAGCTGAAGCGCGCCACGCGGAAACCCAGGTGCAGCAGCGCGGATCCCCGCGCGCGCGGGGGTTGCGCGGGCTTGCCTCGTGTGCCGCGGCAGTAGGGCGGTAGGGCAGTAGAGGCGGCAGCGGCAGTAGCGGCAGCGGTCGCCGATTACCTTAAATCTTAAAGTTTTTACAGCGGTCGCCGGCAGCGGTCGCCGGCAGCGGTCGCCGGCAGTAGAGGCAGCGGTCGCCAGCAGTAGAGGCAGCGGTCGCCGGCAGTAGAGGCAGCGGTCGCCGGCAGTAGAGGCAGCGGTCGCCGGCAGTAGAGGCAGCGGTCGCCGCTTGCCTTAAATCTTAAAGTTTTGACTTCACTAGACCTCGCGAGCGCGACGCGGAAATGCCGCTGCTGTTCTTCATCCCTGACCGCAAGGCGACTTTTGAGTTGACTCAAAAGTCAAACGCTCGCTGTTCTTCAGTCCTGACCGCAAGGCCCCCAAAATCAACGGCTCGCATCCCCCTCGCCTCCTCGTCGCTCGCGCGTCCTCTACCGGGGTCCTTCCCTTCTCCCCGCTCCCCACTTCCCCTCACTCACCTCCTCTTCTCTCCCTCCTTCCACCCCTCCCCCCAACCCCCAACCCCCCGCTCCCCCTTCCCGATCCCCGCGCATCCCCTCTCTCCGCGCACACGGCAGGCGCGGGGCACTCGAAGGCAATCCGCCGCTGCTGGGCGGGGGGGAAGGCGGCAGCGCGGTGGGGGATGACGGCGGCGGCAGCAACGCGCTCGTCATTGCGTCCGCTGCGTCGTGCGCGCGCGGCGGCAGCCGCCCCGGCGAGCTCCGCGAGGTGCGCCCGCCGGGCGGAACAACGCGCTGACAGGCGTGCGGGCGCGCGGATGCCCCTCCGTCGCAGAGGCTTTGATGGGACGGGGTTTAGAGTCGGAGGGTTTTAGGCAGGCAGATGAGATCAATACGGCGGAAGGTCTTAGGCGGATTATCTATGCACGCGGAGGGTTTTAACACGCGGTTGGTGTTAGGCAGAGGGATGTGTAGCATACCGAGGGTTTTAGCAGGAAGAGTGTTTTACAAGACGGAGGGTTTTGGCAGGAGAATATAGCAGGCGTGTTCAGGGTCTTAGCAGACGGAGGGTTTCAACTGGCAGGAGAGGGTTACTCAGGCGGGTTCAGGGTTTTAGCAGATGAAGTAGATGAATTGCACGACGATTCGTGAGCCCCGTGACTTTTAGAGTCGACTCGAACGTCATCTCGTCACAAGTGGGCGGCAATGTTTGTAGCTGGAGTGGAGTGGATGCATTCGAGCCTTTTGACTCTCCAGTCAGCTCGGACGGAGTGGACGTCACTCCACTCCACTCCACTCCCATGGCCTGACCTTGGTTGTCTCTTATTTGCTGTTGCCTCCCTTCTCTTGACTTGCAGCGACTGGCAGGGACGGGAGCTGAGCTGGCATCCGGTGCTGACGTGGCAGCTGACGTGGCACTGGACAACGATGAGCTGGAGCTGGTGGACGAGCGCAAGAAGCGGCGCAACAGCAAGCGCGTGCAGCGCAAGCTCCGCCGCATCCAGGTGAGCAGGAGGGGGGAGGAAAGTGGAATGGGGGGGGGTGGAGGAGATGGGGTTTTGAAGTTTTGATTGTCAAAGTGCTGTTTCGGAGAAGTGGGCTGTTTGGTGCGAGAGAAGGTGGGGGAGAAGAAGTGGTGAGACGTGGGTTTAGGTGAGAACGAGGTGCAACAGCTGCTGGTGATGACCGGTTAGGGGTGGTGACGGGTGGTTAGTGGTGGTGGGGACGGTGAGGGATGGTGGATACGGCCATTCCGTTCATCCGCGCTCTACTTCGCTTTCACTGCTTTTCCCCTTCCTCCCCGCACCTTCATTCCTCACCTATTCTTGGTTTGCCCCCCTTTCTGTCCACTCTCGTGGGTGGGGTGCATGGGGTGCATGGGGTGCATGGGGTGCATGGGGTGCATGGGGTGCATGGGGTGCATGGGGTGCATGGGGTGCATGCATGGCAGGAGGAGAGGGAGAAGAAGGTGAAGCGCAAGCAAGCCATGCACCTGCTGCAGTGAGTGCTCCCTCCCCTCCTCACTCACTCTTCCCTCGCCGCCCCTGTCCATCTTCCCCGCTTCCTCCTTCCACTCATTCCTCGTCCCTGGCTTCTCCCGCTTTCCCGCTTCCCCCTATTCCAACTTCCCCAATTGAAGTGTGCTCCCCATCACCATGCTGCTTCCTGCTGGATTCCACGTATGCGGTTACTACTGCACCGCATGATTTTTGCGACGTCTCAAAATCGTCTCCTTACACCTGGCTTACGTGTGCGCTGAGCACTCTTGTGCCCACAGTGATGGCTGCAGGCTGGTGCACATGTCATTTTAATGTACCTGTTGCTGTCGCTTCCGCCGCCGCTGGCAGAGCAGCCTGGGTTATTGTACTGCCTGTTCGCCCCTCTGCCTGTTCGCCCCTCTGCCTGTTCGCCCCTCTGCCTGTTCGCCCCTCTGCCTGTTCGCCCCTCTGCCTGTTCACACATGTCACTCTGCGCCACTCACCTCATCACTCCACTCCACCCCCCCCTTCCCCTCGCCCCGTTGCCCCCTTCCCCTTGCTCCCTTCCCCTTGCCCTCTTCCCCTTGCTGCCTTCCCCTTCCTCTCCTCCCCTGCCATGCCACCCCCCATCGACCCTTCCCCCAGGCAGCACGAGGCTTCGCCCACCGCACTGCACCTCATGGCACCGAGCAGCACGCTGGGACAGGTGTGGGGAGGGTGAAGGGGTAGGAGAGTTGAAGAGGGCGGGGCAAGGGAGGGCAGGGAGGGCAGGGGAGGCAGGGGAGGGCAGGAAAGTTAAAGAGGAAGGTAAGAAGAGCGCAGGAGGGTGCCAGGAGAGAAGGGTGGGGCAGCGTATGTTTTTTGAGAATTCTAGGGTGGGGCAAGGAGCGGCAACGCAGTGGCGAATGAGGTGATGGGATTTGATGGCAGCAGGTTTTGCGAAGGCAATCAGTGTGTTCGCCTCCCCCATTTCCTGTCGCCTCAATCCCCCCGCTCTTCCCTGGCACTCTCCTATCTTCCCTCGCCCCCTCACTTCTTCCCACAACCCTTCCCTCTCCATCTTTCTTGTTGACAACCTCTTTCCACAATCCCTTCCTCCCTCTTTCAACAGTCCCCTGCTCCCCCTTTCCACAATCCTTTACTCCTTCTGTCCATTGCCTCCCCTCCTTCCTGCCTCTCCCATGCACCTTCACCCATTCCTCTGCACGTCCCGCTCCTGCGTGCCACACCTTACCTGCCACTGCCTACCCACGCTCTCATACCCGCCCTCTCTTACTCGCCTTCCCCTACCCGCCCCCCCCTTCGCACCTCCTCTACGCGCCTTCCCCTACCCGGCCCCCCCCACCCCACCCCTTCCCCGTCCTACCTGACCCCCCCCAACCTCCTCCCGAGTGGCAGCGCAAGCAGGGCTGACCCCATCCGCGGTGGTTCTGAGAAATCACTGAAACACTCTCTCCATTCTATCCTGGCCAACCTCCCTTCCTCCCCCTCATGCCTTTGCGCGCCGCACTTTGTGCTTCTTGCTGCTGTTGCTTCCCTGGTTGAGCAGCAAGCAGAGCGTGAAATATGCCAAGGTGTTTGTACAAGCAGGGCTGGACTGGACCCTCTCCTAACCCCCTTCCTCCTCTCCCCCTTTTTCTGCCTCCCATACATGCCCCACTTTCCCTCCCAGGGTGGCAGCAGCAAGCAGAAGGTTGAGCGCGCCAAGGCGTTTCTACAAGCAGGGCTGACCCCTCCTGCTGCCCTGCAGGCTCTGTTGCTGCGGGAGAGACGGGCGGGGGGTCGAGGAGAGGCGGGGAGTGATGAGGAAGGCAGTGAGGAGGAGGATGAGGAGGAGAGTGAGGATGAGAGGGTTGAAGGGTTGTTGTCGTGGAAAGATGAGAGGGGGAGGGCGAGGAGTGGGGGAGGTGAGGGTGAAGAGAGTGGGGTGGGCGAGATGAGTGAAGGGGCAGTAATGAGAGGAGAGGAAGGGATGGGAGGGACAGGTGAGGGAGGAAAGAGTGTGGGGATGGAGGTCGAGATGAGAGAGATGGAAACAGAGGGCACGGGAGGTGGAGAAGGTGTGATCAAAGAGAGGGAGACGGGAGGGAAAAGGGACACGAGTAGGGAGAGCAGTGGGGAGGAGGAAAGCAGAGGAGAGGGAAGCAGAGAGGAGGGAGAGGTTAGTGATAGCGATGATGGGGAGGAGGGAGAGGACGAGGGGAAGCAACACGGTGAAGAGGTGGGGGACGAGGGAATGGTGGATAGGCAGGGGTTGCTGGGCGAACAAGAAGGGCACAGAATGGAGGATGACGAAGCTGCCAGGAAGGAGGAGCATGCCAGGGATGACGTCATCAGGGCAGAGGAAGGAGAGCAGCAGGAGGCAGCAGAGAGCGAAGGGGCAGCCGTCGAGGCGGAGCAAAGAAAGCAGGGGGGGAATATGGAAGGGAGGGTGGAGCAGGGAGGGGGGGGTGGTGGGAAGGAGAAGCAGGGAGGGGGTGAGGGGCGAAGGGGAGGGAAGCTGTGGGTGCGGGTGGAGCGGCGGGAGGAGATAGAGGCGCAGCGGGCAGGGCTGCCTGTGGTGGCGATGGAGGGCGAGGTGATGGAGGCGGTGGGGAGCAGCAATGCCGTGCTAGTGTGCGGCGAGACTGGGTCGGGCAAGACGACACAAGTGCCACAGGTGTGAGGGGATGTGGGGGAAGGGGAGCATGTGGAAGGGGGTGAGGTATGTGGGGAGCAGCAATGCCGTGCTGGTGTGCGGCGAGACCGGGTCGGGCAAGACCACCCAAGTGCCCCAGGTGCGTGGGGGTGAGTGAGGCGGGTAGGTGGGTGGGGTTGGGAGGGCGTGGGGTAGAAGAGCAAGGAGCAGTAAGGGCCGGGATTTCAGGTGTGGATGGGGTAGGCGCAGCGGGCAGGGCTGCCTGTGGTGGCGATGGAAGGCGAGGTGATGGGGGCGGTGGGGAGCAGCAATGCCGTGCTGGTGTGCGGCGAGACAGGGTCGGGTAAGACGACACAAGTACCTCAGGTGGGTGTGGGAGGCCAGGTGATGACGGAGGGGTGGTGAGGCAAGTGGGTGGGGAGGGGAGGGGTAGCTACATGGGCAGCGGCAATGCCGTGCCGTTCTCACGTGGGACGCGATGAGCATGAGATGCACTTGGGGATGTCATTGCACCGGGTGGCAATGCCGTCCTCTCCTCCCCACCCAAGCAGACGCATACATACGTTGTGCAAGCACACGTGCAGTGGCACCAAACCAGCTCCCCCTCCTCTTCCCGTTTCCCTTTCCAGGGTTTCACCCTCCTCTTCCTCTTTCCCTGCAGAGTAGTGCTTCTTACTCAAGCTGGGGCGCCTTTCTTCCACTCAACTGTCCCCTCTCCCCCTGTTTCCTTTCCCCTTCCCACCCCCCCGTTTCCTCTTCTACCTCAACCCCACTCCCCTTTCCATCTCCATTATCTCTTTCCCTCTCTCCATCCCTCCCCTTCCCCCTCCCCCTCCCCCTCCCCTCCCCTCCCCCTCCCACAACCCCCCCTCTTTTCTCAGTTTCTCTATGAGGCGGGGTACGGCTCGTCCCTCCCGGGGGGTGTGCCGGGCATGATCGCTGTGACTCAGCCGAGGAGGGTGGCGGTGCTGGCAACGGCCAAGCGCATAGCGGATGAGATGGGGGTCACCGTGGGCCGGGAGGTCGGCTACCAGGTGCGTCTATGCAACTGACGTGACAACTCTTGCTGCTAAAACTTTTCCATTGCCTGCTGCTCGCCTGTTTTAGGGAGAGTGGCAGTCCTGGCGCCACAAATGAGATGGGGGTCATTGTGGGAAAATCCCGGGAGGTGGGCTACCAGGTGCATCCACGTGTGTGACATCGACGTGCTGCTCACTCTTTCTTTCTCCTCAAGTTCTTTTCATCACTTGTTCTCAACAAATAACCGTTGGCTGTGGTGCTGCCATTCCGGGGTTTGTTGTGCGCCTGCAGGTGCGGTACGACCGCCACGTGGCGGGCGGCACGGCCATTAAGATAATGACAGATGGCATCCTGCTGCGCGAGGTGCAGGCGGACCTGCTGCTGCGGCAGTACAGCGCGGTGGTGCTGGATGAGGCGCATGAGAGGAGCGTCAACACCGACATCCTCGTTGGGCTGCTCTCCCGCATCGTGCCACTCCGCCAGGCACGTTGGAGGGGGAGAGTGGGGAAAGGGAGGGTGGGAGGAGGGGGAAAAGGTGGGACGGGGGGAGGGTGGGTGCTGCTCTACTCTCCCGCATCGTGCCTCTCCGCAAGGCATGCTTGGGTGTCCTGGGGTGGCGGTGGGTGTCCTGGGGGTGTATAGAGCCCGAGAGTATGCTGCTCTGCCCTCCCGCATCGTGCCTCTCCCTCCGCCAGCCACACATGGGGGAGAATGGGGCTGCGGGGTTTGTATGGGCAGCCTGGACACACACGCGAGTGCCTGGAGTGTGGTCACACACACGAGTGTTGAGAGCACGGATGAGAGCATGAACGGATGAAAGGATGGAAGGACGTTCATGGCACACTCACAGGGGGCTGAAGTTCCCGGAGAAGCGCTGCTGGCATCATTCACTGTGCCTGGAGCGCGAACACACACGAGTGTGCCTCACAGCAACACCTGACTGAGCTGCTCTCTACCCCGCTGCCCTGAGAGGCGCGCCGCCTCCCTGCCATGGCTGTTGGGGTCGTTCCGCTAGCTCACATGCACGAAACTCCTGTTGACCAAACTCACTGACGTGTCTCTTCTCTCCCGCCTCCCTTGAAGCTCCTCATTATGGGCGCCTACCTTCGCCTCTCAGGCTTAACTGCCAACAATTGCCTCTTCCCCTTTCCATTTCCCTTTTTCTTGCTCCGTTGCCCGCCGCTTCTCCCTTTGCTATTTTTTCCCCCAACACCCGCCTCTCTCCCGTCTCCTTACTCCCCATCACACCACAGAAACTGCATGACGAAGCCAAGGCGGCTGGTCGGCCTTCCTCCGCCCCGCCTCCTCTGAAGCTCATCATTATGAGCGCCACTCTCCGCATCTCAGACTTTACTCTCAACACGCGCCTCTTCCCCGCGGGCCCTCCCCCTGTCGTCTCCGTGCCTGCCCGCCAATTCCCCGTCACTGTTCACTTTGCCCGGCGCACCGAGCTCGTGGATTACGTCCGGGCAGCCGAGAAAAAAGTTTCGGCGATCCATCGGAAGCTGCCCCCCGGAGGGGTTTTGGTGTTTCTGACCGGGCAGAGGGAGGTGGAGGACCTTTGCAGGAAGCTTCGGAAGAAGTTTCCAATGAAGGTGGGAGGGCAGAGGAGGGCGGACGGTGGGAATAGAGGAAGAGGGGCGTGGGGGAGCAGCACGGGTGGGGACAGGGGGGCTGGAGGTAGGGGAACTGGGGGCAGGGATGTAGTGAAAGGAGGCGGACGTGGCAAGAAAAAGAATGGGGAGGGGAAGACAGGCAAGGAGGATAAGAGGGAGGAGGTGAAGGGAGAGGGAGGAGAGGGTGGTGGTGAGGGTGAAGAGGGAGAAGAGGCAGGTGAGTTGGGTGGTGGGGGTGCAGAGCAGCAGGGCGAGCGCGATGCAAATTTGGATGCCATTGTGCGGCTGGAGGGCGGAGGGGGAGCAGGGAAGGATGGCGGTGAGAGGCAGGGAGGGAAGAGGGACGGGGAGGGTGAGAGAGAAGGGGAGGAGGCAGCGGGGGGTGTGATGGATGGGGAGGAGGAGGAGGCGGAGTGGGAGGCGGTGGTGGAAGGGGGAGAGTACGAGGGCGAGGAGGGGGGAGATGACTATGAAGAGGACGAGGAGGAGGATGAGGAGGAGGAGTGGGAAACGTGGGGCTTGCTGGGTGGGGAGAAGGGCGAGGGTGTGGAGATGCAGCAGGTAGGGGAAGAGCAGGCCGCAGGGGCAGCTGGTGTGGCAGAGACAGCTGGGCCAGCAGTGGCAGGGGAGGTAACGGGGGCAGCTGAGGCGGCAGGAGGGGGAGCGGGGCCTGGCAGTGGTGCCTCTCCCCTCTCCAAGGGGGAGCAGGCAGGGCCGGGCGGCAAGGGGGAGCAGGCAGGGCCGGGTGGCATGTATGTGCTGCCGCTGTACGCCATGCTGCCGGCCGCCCAGCAGCTGAAGGTGTTTGGAGCCGTGCCTGAGGGGTGCCGCCTCGTGGTGGTTGCTACCAATGTTGCTGAGACCTCCATCACCATCCCAGGTGATTGCAACAGATCAGGTGAATGTAACAGATCAGTCCGGTGATTGCAACATATCAGTCAGGTGATTGCAACAGATCAGTCAGGTGATTGCAACAGGTCAGGTGATTGCAAAGTTGAGATAAATCCAACAACATTCTAGCTATTGGGCAGCATAAGGGCTGTTCACGTGCGTACAAAGACTCTTGTCTCAGCTCAGCCCCACCTATGCTCGTTATGGTAACTTAGAAAGAACAAGTGCGTTTTAGATCCAGTGTCGTTCTAAAAGCCCAATTGGGTTGAAACTCTGACTAGTGAGGAAACCAGTGTGGAGGAAACCTCTTGAGTGGAACCCGTAGGGATGTGATTTCATTGAATGTTTGAACTGATCATGCTCGTGTTCGAGTTGAGTCTAACACTATTTTGTTCAAAATTCAAGGTCCGAACACCTGCTGGCCTCAAAAGGAACCTGTTTGCTTCGAATTATTAGGATGTTCGAGGCGAACATGTTCGAGTTCACCTCCCCCCCACCTCACCTCCCCCCTTCCTGCAGGCATACGCTACGTGGTGGACACAGGGCGGGCCAAGGTGAAGCAGCACACAGGGGGGGCGGGCTTGGCGCGCTTCACAGTGGAGTGGATCTCGCGGGCCTCAGCGGACCAGCGTGCGGGCAGGGCGGGGCGGGTGGGGCCGGGGCAGTGCTACAGGCTGTTCTCAAGCGCGGTGTTTGCCAACCAGTTTGAGGCGTTCGGGCAGGCGGAGATCGAAAGGACACCCATTGAGGGCGTCGTGCTGCAGATGAAGGCCATGGGCATTGATAAGGTGAGAGGAAGGGCTATGAGGCATGAGGTGCAATGAAGGGTTCAGGAATGAATAAGGTGTGGTCTCGGCCTGAGGCATGAGGGCATGAAACCGCTGACCATTTCATTCACATTGCGTGAACCCTTCCCAATGTATCCCTCACTCCCTTTTTTCGCCCACCACCCTCTGGCCCCTTCCCCCCACTGCCCCGCAGGTTCTCAACTTCCCCTTCCCGACGCCCCCCGACCCCCAATCCCTCGCCTCCGCCCTGCGCTGCCTGCATCACCTCTCCGCCCTTCCGTCACCTTCCTCCTCCTCCCCCTCCCCATCCCCCTCCTCCTCCCCCTCCCCCTCCCCCACCATCACCCCGCTGGGTCGCGCCATGGCTTCTCTGCCAATCAGCCCGCGCCACGCGCGGACCCTGCTAGCCATTCTGCTCGAAGCTGCCAGGAAGGTTCCTCTGGCAGATCTGACGAATGGCAGAACAGGGAACGAGGGTGTGGGAGAAGGAGCGGGGGAGCTAAGGGAGGAGGGTAAGGGAAGTGCAAGGGGGAGGAAAGGAAAGAGGAGGTATATGGAAGGGGCATCAGGCGAAGAGGGTGGGGGCGTGGGGTATGAGAACAACCAGAATCAAAGAGAGGGGATTGTGGGTGTGGAGGAGAAGGGGGAGAGGAAGGGGGAGGGGGAGGGGGAGGTGGGGAGGGTGAGTGCGCTGGTGGTGCGGTATGCGATAGCGGTGGTGGCAGCAATGAGCGTGGAGAGCCCTTTCCTGCGCGACAATGACACTGGCGACACAGGCACGGCGGGCCAAGGGGATAGTGGGGGGACGGGCGAGAGAGGCGATGGGGCAGATGGCAGGAGCGGTGAAGAGAGAGAGTCAAGGGCAGGTGTGGGTGGTGGTGCCGACCACGCTGCTGCTGCTGCTGCTGCTGCTGCTGCTGCTCCTCCCAATGGCAAGGCGTTGAGTCGCCACGCAGCGCATGCGCTCTTCTGGAGTCGCAGCAGCGACGCCATCACGGCCGCCAATGCCCTGCGAGCCTATGACGCTGCTGTCCGCGCAGGCAAGGGCGGGCGGAACACACTACCTCAGGCCGGTGGGGCAGCTCAGAGCAGGAGTGGGGCTGGCAAAGGGGACAGGGGCGCAGGGGGATGGGGGGGAGCGGGGGAGCGGTTCTGCCAGCGGTTCTACCTGAGGGAGCGGTGCATGAGGGAGATGTCTCAGCTCGCCCACCAGCTGTCTCGCCTGCTCGTTGCAGGCACCCGCGCCCACCTCCTGCAATCCTTCCTCTCCTACGCCCTCTCCTCCTCTCCCTCCACCTCTTCCCATCCCGCCGCGCCCGTGCCGCTCACTCTGCTGGTGGAGAGGGGGGAGCAGTTGTGGGCGGGGAGAGAGGGGAACAAGGAGGGACGGGTGGAGCCACAGTTGAGGGAGTGGGAGGAGGGGCTGATCCGAAGGGGCCTGGCAGCAGGCTGGCCCGACCGCCTCGCGAGAAAAATGGCTCCCGGAGACAAACCATCAGCAGCAGGTAGTGCTGCTGGCGCTACTCACTCCCTGCCGAAACGTGCCGTGCGGTACGAGGCACTGTTCATGGAGGAGCCAGTGCTGCTGCACCCGCGCAGCGCTACCTTCCGCTCGGCGCCACCTCTCCTGCTCTTTAATGAAATCGTTCAGACTGAGTCCCACCCCTTCCTCGTCACCACCACAGCTGTCGACCCCGCCTGGCTGCCCTCCTCCTGCCCCGCACTCTGCTCTCTCTCCAAGCCTCTCCCCGACCCGCCGCCCCGCTACCACCCTCCATCGGACCGCATTCTTGCAACAGTAGCAGCTGTGTATGGGCCCAAGCGGTGGCCTTTGCCGCACTGCACTGTGGACTTGGAGGGGAGCAGGGAGAGGGCGGCTGTGTTTGCGTGCGCGCTGCTGCAGGGCCAGGTGGTGGGAGCAATGAAGCGGTTACAGGGGTTGCTTGCTGGTAACCTTACGAGCTTGCTGCGGCCGGAGGGGTTGGGGCAGAGGAGGGCAGGGGACTTGGTGCATAGGTTGATGGTGGGGGTGACAGGAGGAGGGAAAGGGGCAGGGGGAAGGGGTGAGAGCGGTGGTAGGGGAGGGGAAGGTGTGAGAGGGCCTGTTGATAGTAAGGGGAAGCTGAGGGCGGCGTGGGAGTGTGATGGAGAGTTCCTGAGGGCGGAGGTGAGGTCGTGGGTGCGGGCAGGGCAGGAGGGCGTGGTGGATGGGCTGTGGCGAGATATCGTGAGGGAAGCTGTTGTGGGGGCGAAGAAGCAAAAACGTTGAGATGCAAATCTCTGTACCTACAGCAGTCATGTCATACAGTACGTTTTTTAGGTGCAGTGTGCCACACTAGAAAAACCATCTATGAAATATTTCGTTTTTGAATACGGTAAAAACATCCTCAGCAGTACATCACATTTGGGAGTACCGGTACAAAATGATTACAGCTCGAGCAAGTTTACTATTAGAAAGCAACCAGGGATGCATGCATCCAGCCATTTCCATAGCATCGTAACATTCTTTCCCCCCGGCCCGTACACCTGACTAGAAACCATTATCAGTGGTATTCAGACAACCCACACCGTACATTCTTTCCAGAGCTTCAGCTTCACGTTGAGCTTCAAGTTGGTCACAGCATTCTTCAGTCAAGCTGAGAAGCATCTTAAGTTGGGTGAGATCCTCAGGCAGAGAAGCCAGGTGCCTGCAGCCATCCAAATTGAGCTCTTTCAGCCGGCTTAGTTGTCCAAAGTAGGAAGGCAGGGAGCGTATGGGCGTGCACTGAAGGTTCAACGCATGAAGGCAGGAAAGCTGGGTGAGAGAAGCAGGGAGGTGGGCGAGTGATGAGCATTTTTCAAGATTCAGCTGCCGCAGCCGGGATAGCGCTCCGATACCCTCTGGAAGAAACAAGAGCTTAGGTGCATGGATCTCAACAAATGTCAGGGATTGGAGCTCCGTGAAACTATCAGTCAGCTGCGTCAATTCTGCACCCCGGTGAATCAGCAACCGCCTCAGCTGCCGCAAGGCCGAACCAAACCCTTCCGGAAGCTTCTCCATGCAACCAGTGCTGTGGATTGTCAAGCTGCGAAGGTTTGACAGAAGCTCCAGAGGCAGAGGGAGTTCGTCTGCTTCTCCAGCCAACGTTAGCTCTAATTCTTCCAGAGAAGCGAGGGCCATGCCAGCTGCCAGCCCATGTATGATCCCAACACTAGTTAAGCTCAGTTTTCTCAGCCTGGGCAGAGAAGGAAGCTCCAGCAGAGGGGTGAGGCGCTGGGAGCTTCCTATGGAGAGGATCTCGAGGGAGGAAGGCAGGGATGTGGATACTTGTGCTAGCTGGGGGACATTGGCTAGGGCCAATTCTTTGAGCCTTGTGAGGTTGCTCAAGCTGGTGGGAATTGCAGTAAGGCTGTCGCAGTCCATAGCTTTCAGAACGTTTAAGTTGACAAGGTCGGTGAGAGAATCCGGAAGCTGCTGAATCTTCGAGCAGGACTGGACGGTCAACTCCCGCAGGTTCATCAGCTTCCCCAAGTCTTCTGGAAGTTCTGCTAGCATGCACTGGGTAAGCTCGAGCCTTGTCAGGGAGGTCAGCTGCGTGAAGGAGGATGGAAGCTGCTGCTGCGGGGAATTTTCTCTCAAACGAAAGGTGTGGAGGTTGGTGAGTGAGCCGATGTCGTCTGGAAGCTTCAGGTTCGGCGAATTGAGGATGCAGAGGGAGTTGAGTGCGGTGAGGTTACCGAACCTTGCAGGCAGCTCGAAGATTGCCTTGCAGTAAGACAGGGAGAGGGTTTCCAGAGACGTCAGCTGGTAGAACGAATCTGGGAGGCTCGAAATTGGAAGCTGGTTCAGCGTCAGCACTTTCAATGCGGGCAGCTCTCCAAAATTTTCGGGCAGGCTGACAATGTCGCATGAGAAAATCGTCAGCTCACGCAGGCAGCTTAGGGAAGCGAACTCGCCGGGCAGCTCGGAAACATTATTCCATCCCCACATGCTGAGATGCTGAAGGCCTGGAAACCGCTGTCCAATGTCATCAGGAAGACGTGCCATGTCGGTGAAACTGTACCCTTTAAGAAGTAGCCGCTCGAGACAGCTGAACGAGGCTTCTGATGGAAACATCAACTCGAATGGCGGACTGCACGCCTCGAACTCCACCGCTTTCAGCCAGGGCAGCTGGGCGAACGAAAAGGGATGAGAGCCGTCGCGACCTAGTCCCAGCCATGTAGAGTCTAGGATTGCGAGAGTGGAGAACGCCGGGAGATGCGCGAGGCTTGCGAGATTCGGATATGCCGGCCTTGGAATGTCGATGGAAAGGGCCGTGAGAGAAGTCAAATTCGTGAATCCGGGAGACTCGAGAGGTGAGGCTTCGGTAAGCACGAGGGTGCGTAGGTTGGTAAGCAGCGAGAGAGAGTCCGGCAGCTTGCAGTAGCGATGCAGGCAGTAGAGCGAGAGGTGCTGCAGCTGAGTGCAGCGACGCAAGAATCGGTCCAAACCAGCCTCAGTCACCGGGTTATTCTCCTCGTTCTCGTATTCCGCCGTCAGCGTCATCTCTCTCCCCACGTGCAGCGACACCAGTCTAGGGCACGCAGAAGCGAGGAAATTGAGAAATGCATCGCTGACAGTTTCTACGCTGTTGTCGCTCAGGTGGAGATGAGAGAGGTTTGGGAAGCACTTGATTGCAGCCGTGAGGTCTTGGAGAGAAACGGCGACGTTTTCCTTCACGAAGAGCATTGAGACCTGACGGCGAGCTAGGCGGCGCCATCGCTTGCAAACGGATGCGATGAGAAGGTGGTAGGCCGGATCTGTCAGAACGGTGGGAGCTGACAACGGTGTAGTAATAATTCTGGTGTTTGTAGCAGTAATGGTATTATCGTCGTTCCGCTGTAGGGAGGACAGGGACGAAAATTCTTCGAAGGTGCTGAGGTCGTCGCCGTACGGGCTGTCGGAGGAGTACCTTGGCGGACGCATGATGTGAACGGATGGATTAAGCCCACGCATCTTGGATGCAGGCACGCTACGAATTGGGCCATCGTTCTTGCAGTGCCAGAAGATGTACACGAGGAGGTCGTCTGACAGGCTGTTGATGTACGAGGGAGCCATGATATCCGAACTGTGAGACTAACGGATTAGGTATATCGAGCTAGTGTTGCGGAAAGAACGGACTTCCGCGAAGAATTAGGTCAAACGGCTTGAGTATGGCCCGATAGGGCGGGTTATCTGTCTTGTGTTCTTCACTGCTCGTTCCCAGCGAGGTGGTGTTTCGAAGGGAATGAGGAACGGTTGGGTAGGGTGGAAGTTCGGTTCGATTACCGTACGAGAATGGAAGAGTTGCAGCAGCATGATCTCCCTGGGCAGGCAACACCGATACACTCACCAGAAAAGGCAATTTTCGTTACAGTCGCCAATACCAAGGTTCCGAATCGAACTACGTGTACAGCCCTCCTTCGATCAGATTAGGGAAAACAGGTACAATAGAAACCAAGGCCTCATTGCACTGGATGAAACCAGGGGGATTTGGCTCGCTCTAACCGCCGTCACCATTTCAATCACAACCGTGTTCACTTCGCTCCCCTCACTTCCCTGCCAGCATCCACCACTCGCTAGTAGCTGTACTGTGCTTCTAGGTAAGGCGTTCTGCTGCCTTCACGACACTCTCTCACCGATTTCCCCTCACGTGCTTCGGCTATGTTTCGTTGCGAATCTTTCATTGCCTGCGCTCGCTGTGCACGAGTCGTCGCTGCCTCCTCGCATCTTCGTCTGAGATTCATCGCCAACGAGCGGCCGTCCTGTCTCGTGTGCTCGCTCGCTCATGTCTCGTGTTGTTCACTCGCTGCCACCCAACACTCGTCGCTTCCCGCTTCCCGCTTCCCGCTTCCCGCTTCCCGCTTCCCGCTTCCCGCTTCCCGCTTCCCGCTTCCCGCTTCCCGCTTCCCGCTTCCCGCTTCCCGCTTCCCGCTTCCCGCTTCCCGCTTCCCTAGCTTGTAATTTTCATTTTCGGTCTCGTTCTCCCTTTTCCTGCAGACGTCAAGTTCCCATCTTCACGTCACCAACCGTCGACCAGCAGCCGTCTGCCGTCATCCTGCCGGCGACCCGCAATGGGTATCGCGCGCACGTGGAACGTGGAATCGACGGTCAAGGTCGCCTTCGCCGTGGTCGTGGGCACCACGCTCGTCAGCTCGTACCTTTATGCGGTGAGCTCTTCTCGCTCTCCACCTCCTACCTCTACGCGGCGAGCTCTGTTTTCCCTGCGAAGAACGCTCTGGTTCTCAGGTGAACTCGCGGATCGCTTTCATTGTTGTCATTAGTCGTCCGCAGCTCGCTCGTCACTCCCATCTCTACGCAGTGACGCGATGGGGCTGTAATGCCGCATTATGAGAAGCCTGATCGATCAGTGAATGGACCCATCGCGAATGGATCTCACATGGGACATGCAGCAGTGCGGTTGTGAACGACAAAGGACCTGCACTGCGGACTTTTGATTTAGGTCAAAAGTCACCTCGCAAAAGCTCTTCTTCCTCGCTGCGTGCTTCCCTGCAGCTTTGTGTGTTTTGCGGTAGGGCCGTGAGAGAGGGGTCGTGTGCGAGGTTGTCTTTTGTGTTGTCTTTTGTCTTTTGTCTTTTGTCTTTTGCTTCATGGATGGCATGGCTTGTCTTGATGTGTGCCGCAGGGATGCACCGTCTCCGCTGGCTCTCCCGTTGCTTGCCATGCCATTGCAACTCACTCGCCTCCCACGCCCACCCACCCACCTCCCCACTCATCCCATCTGCTCAGAGCAAGTTGAAGACACAAGCAGCAGCAGGGGCAGCGAAGAAGTGACAAGGCACAGCAGAGCATGCATGTGAGCATGTGTTTAACATCTTCCAAGGGTCGACGGGCACCATGAAGCATCCTGTGCCGCCTCCACAATCATTCATACTGCCACACTACCTGTTTCCCTTTCCTGTTTCCATATTGCCAATTGTAGCTTAATTGATACTATCTGTAATCAAGCAAGAACCTTATACAGTACCGTGAGTACAGCCACAGGGAGTGAGCCATGGTCACAAATCTACTTTGGGTGGGATTTGAAAGTCTGCTGGATGGAAACAGCATGGCTGCAGAGCTGCTGCTGCTGTAGGTGGCGGCCAGGTGATAGGCTGCATGGCACTGCTTGTGCCACAAGTCAACACCCCAGCCTGTGTGCCAATATGTGTGCCAGTCTGCACAGCAACATGCACAGCAGCATGCACCACGCCAGACTCACTCTCATCCTCCTCATCCTCCTCATCCTCCTCATCCTCCTCCCCGCCCCACACGTCACTCCCCAGCTCCCCATCCCCGCCATACCCCACGTCACTGCCATACCCTGAGTCCCCTCCGCTCTGCCCCTCACTCCCCACCCGCCCGCTGCGCCTCTCCTCCCCCGCGCGCCCCTGCTCCTGCTCCCACGGCCCCTCCCTCGCCCACGCGCCCACTCTAGCCCACTCTCTGCCCAGCGGCAGCGCCTCCCCCTCCACTATGCTCCTCGGCGTGCTCAGTGCTGCTGCAGACCGCCTGGGGGACAAATGCAACAGAGGGGATTGGGAGGCATGGCGCATGGGAAGGCGGGGAGAGAATGTGAAAGGGAGGCAAGGAAGGCAAACCAAAGGGAAGAGAAATGCAAAGGAAGGAGACGGAAGGAGAACCAATGAAAAAGGTAGGAAAGGAAAGGAACAACGGAAAGGGAAGGAAGAAGGAACAGAAAGCAAGCGGGGAATCGCAAAGAAAGGGAACGGAAAGCAATGGAAGAAGAGGGATATTGAAAGGGTAGTTGGGAGGAAAGGAAAGCACTGCGGAAGAGAGGAGCAAAGTTCTCTAGTGCTAGAGGTTGAAAAGAGAATGTTGGGGAGAAGGGTGGAAAAGACAATATGAGAAGATGTAAGACATACCTTTCTCGTGCCCCGTGAGGCAGGTCCAGCCCCGTGCTGCTGCTGCTCACATAACCCCCTCCTGCCACCATCGCCACCTGCCCGCCCTCCTCCCATCCCTCCTCCACACCCCCCCTCTGCCTCCACACATCCATACCCGCCCCTTTCCCCTCACTCGCACCTTTCCCCATGCGTCCACCACACCTGCCCGCACCACCCTGTGACCCTCTGGCAGCAGCACTGCAGCGCCGGCTGCTGCTGCTGCGTCCTGCCTCCACCCGCTGCTGCCGTGCCGGCCTCACAGCCCCGCGTGGCCCGTGCTGCGGCCTCGAGGGTCGGGACGAGCCGGCAGGGCGCGAGTGGCCGTAGTACAGTTCTCCACTCGCACGGCTCACATGCTTCCCGCCACCCACCTGCCGCCCGCTGTTCCCACTGCTGCCGCCCTTGAAGGCACCAACACCAGCAGGAGCGGCAGCGGGAAGGGCGGTAGGTGAGGTCAAGTGCGGTACGGGGGAGTGCTTGCCGGCATCGGAGCTCCTGCCGAGCTCGGAGAGCGGATGCGCATCAGAGAGGCGGTCGCGGTCCGAGAGAGAGGGGGAGGGAGGCACGGCAGGGCGATCAGAGTAAAGAGCAGCACTGGGGGACGCGGAGAGGGAGAGGGAGGGAGCGAGGGGGTCGGAGGCACAGGAGGTGTCGCACGTTGCTGCTGCTGCTGCTGCTGCCACGTCACTGCTCTCGCATGGCATTGCAGCTGCATCACTGGTGTGCCCCTCTGCCACCGCCACTCCCACTCTGCCTTGCGCTGCCTGCACGCTGCAGCGCCGCCTCTTCCGAAGCTGCACATGGTAATGCCGGTGGGGAAAGGGAGAGAGGGGAGGGGGAGGAGGGGGAAGAGTTGGGGGGGGGGGGGGGGGGGGAGGGGAGGGGTAGCACTCAGAGAATGCACATTGGCGCGAAGACAGACCTTGCAGATTGGCGGAGACACGTGCAAGCCTCACCTGCCGAATTCTTTTTTTCTCTTTTTTTTTTTTTTCTCGCCTTACCTGCCTGCCCTCCTTCCATCGCCATGTGGCCCGCCCTGCCCCAACTGCCATCTGCCCCACACCCCTGCCTCCTGCACTGCCGCCTTCCTCCGAGCTCTCACTTTCCTCCCCGGCCCCCCTCACAGCCATTCTGCACCCCGCCCACTCCGCCGCCCCACCTTTCTCCTCCAACATCAGCATCACTTCACCTCCCCACGTGCTCCACTCCCCTGTTCCGCCCAGCTCCCACCTACCAGCCCTGGCACCAATTGTGCCTCTCTCCTCTTCCTCCCATTCCTTCTCCCTCTCCTCCTCCTCCTCATCCCCCTCTCCCCCTTCCTCCACCTCTGCATGGTAATCGCTGCTGTCGCTCCCCCCATCCACTGCAAATACCTCCTGCCCCGCCCTCTTGCGCCCACACACCTGCCTTGCCCCTGCCGCTCCCACCAGCATCGCGCCTGCCCCCTCACTCTCCCGCCCCCCGTCCTCCCCCTCTGCTGTGCCATGCCCCTTACCACTGCTGCCACTACCCAACTCCGCATTCCCCCCATCTCCCCGACCCCCCTCACCTCTTCCTCCTTCTTGCACCCCACCTGCTCCCTCCCCTACCACCACCCCTACTCTGTGCCTCCTCAACCGCCTCCTCCTCCATCTAGAAGCTTCCAAGCTGCTTCCCTCACCATCTGGACCGCCCACGTCAGCAGCAGAAGCACCACGAGCAGCAAACACAGCAGCAGCATCACCCCCTGCCCCCGCCCCACTCCCTTCCCCTGCCTCCGCTGCCTCATCCCTGCCCGCCCACCCAACCCCTCCCTCCCTCCACCCCTCTCCTTGCTCCTCGCCCTCCCCAGGCAACGTCCCCCGCACTCCTCCCCCACGCCCCAACTCTTCCCCACCGCCCTCCGCGCCCTCGCCTCGCCTCCGCGCCTCCGCCCGTGCGGACAGCGATCGCCGCCTTCCCACCGCCCCACTGCGCCTCGCCTTGGGTGGCCCCATGCTGCCTCCCATACTGCCTGCGTTGCTGCCTGCGCCATTGCCCTCACCACCGTTGCCATCGCTGCTGCAGCTGCCTCGCACCCACGCCCCGCCACCCATTGCCCCACCAATGCCTGCCTCTCGCGTCTCGCCTATTTCGCGACTCTCGCCTGCGAGTGTGGCGAATCCCACGCGCCTGCTGCCATTGCTGTGCGCCCAGACGCCCTCGTGAGCAGCACCACGTGCTCCCCCACCTTCAACCCCACCCCCACCCCCACCCCCTTGTGTATGCCCATGCGCATGCCTCCCTCCCCCACTGCCCGGCCGCGCTGCTCGCCGGGCTGCCTGCTGCTCCAGCGCATGCCAGCTCTCGTCCGAGCTGCCCCCGGACCACCCAGACACGCGCACGCCTCTGCCTCGGAAACCCAACCGAGCCTCATGCTCCGGCTTGGAAAGCTCCGCCGTCCCGAGCCTGCCAGTGTTGGCCCAGGGGGAGGCCGCAGCTGCAGATGCTGCTGTGGTGTGAGAGCTGGGTGGGGCGCTGAAGGCGGCGGAGCAACGCCACGCCTGAAGTGGTTGCGCCGCGCGCACCTCCTCGCAGCTGCTCGCTCCCCGCCCCCCCGCGCCCCCATCCTCTGTTTCCTCTGTCCAATCCGCCCCCTCCACCCCCTCCCCTTTCCCCCGCCCGGCCTCGTCGCGCTCATCCTTCCGCCTCTCCGCCGCCGCCGCAGTGTTTCCGCGCGCGGGCCGCATAGCGCCTTCCGCCTGCGCGCCCTCCGCCTGCCCGAACGGGCTCCACGCGCCCAGGCGGTCCAGGCACGACGCCAGCTTGCGCTGCGCGCGCCGCCGAGCGGATGCCCGCCCGCGGTGGTTCGCGCGCGGGGCGGCGGCGAGGGGGTCCGCGGGCAGCGGAAGGGCGAAATCCACTGCCGCGGGTTGCGCCATTGGGGGAGCGGGGCGGTGATGGAGGGGCGGCGGAGCTTACTGTTGCGCGTGGCGCTGCGGAGCTCGCGAGGGCGGCTGGCGGAGCCAGTCACTCACGGCAGAACCGCGACGCCTGGGCGCAACGGTCACGCGCAAGGGTCGTGCGCGCTTGAGTCGCTAAGCAATGCTTCGCACACGGCGCAGCAACGATAAATGGCGCCTCCGTTCTAGACGAAAGGGCACAAGGAGAATGATAATCCTAGAGCGAATTAGTGGAGGCGTGTCCTAGTGCCACACAACGCGTGCGAATTGTCCATGCCAAACAGAAGATTATGGGGACCTGCGCTAGCTATCCTCGACCTCGCTAAAAGAGACAGCTACTCTCATCGGCGCAAGAGCCAGAGAGGGGCCTACATTTAATACATTCTAAGTGTGAGATAACACTAAATAGCGAAAGAACATTAAAAGCCTAATGATGGGATATGCAGCGCTTGCAGCCAAGCTTGGGCTATATTACACACAAGGTTTTGTGAAAGCAAGTAGGAGGAGTAACAAACATCGGCGCCTGGTGAGGCCTGCTGTAAGAAATTACAATTCCTTCCTGCACTAGCCTTTTGACAGGTACAATTTCTGTAGCGGTCGCGTCAATACGTTCGGCCAAACATGGGTCGCTAGGTTAGGTCCATACCTACCGCTAGTTATCCCTGCCTATCCGACGTGCCATTGTCCCCGCCCTTCCCTTCGCGCACGTCCCGCGTTGCCCACGCCCTGCCCTTCGCGTGCGCCCTACGCCGCCCATCGTGCACACCCCGCGCTGCCGCGCGCCGCCCTGCGCTGTCGCATGGGCGATCGACTCGTTGCCGCTGCAGCCCGTGTGCCGCTGCTGCCCGTGTGCCGCTGCAGCCCGTGTGCCGCTGCTGCCCGTGCGCCGCACCACCGTCGATGCCGCCCTTGCGCCTCTACTACTTGCGCACCACCCGAGTGTGCCGCCTGCGCTGCCCATGCCCTCTGTTGCCTGTGCTGCGGCTTGCACTACTACGCTGCCATTGACGCACTACCCACTGGCCGGTCCGCTGCCGCTAAGCTGCGCCGCCTGCCATGGTGACCATCATTATAATAACGTTTGACGCAAAGGGGCGTCCTATGGAGTTTGAGCCCTGGCTAGAGGAGTAGGTGCTATTGACGCTGGGGAGTAGGTGTAGCGGCAGTACCAGGCTAATTGTGTTGCATGCACACTGTGGTTGCGTGCTGTTTGCGCTCACCTGCCACACGATCAGAGGGCCCACTTTCGCCAGGTGACATCGGCCCAGGCTCTCTACGTCGCTCTGGTTAAGAGCTACTCCTCCCCCTCTTCTGCCACCCTAGGTCGTCTTGCGCTGCCGTTTCTCTTTCCTGAGTTGTCTGATTTCACCACTGTAGCCGACCTTATGTCTCACATGTGCTCCATTGACACCTGCTGCCGTGCTACTCTCAAGCCGATGTTTCAGGCTGAAAACCAGCCCCCCATGTATCTCACTCTCGACTTCCTCATGACTTGCCTCCCTGGCTCTCTTCGTGCTGTTTGAGACCACTTCCTCTAACTAGACCCCACTTAGCTCACCCTCGCCTTGTTTGAGACCTGTCTCCTCGAGTATGAGACCAGTTCTCACACTATAGCCGTCTCCCATGGCTTTCCCAGCCTCTCCATTTTTTTAGGGTGCCCCTCCTCCCTTCTCGCGCCCCCTGTTGCCTCTGCTGCTCCCATGGACGTTTTTGGTGCCGAGGAGGTCGTTGTTGCATCTACTCCTAGTGAAAGTTGCCACAGAAGGGGTGGGCGTACGAGGGGTGGGGCCGGTGGGGGTTGTGGAGGTGGCAGCATCGGTGTTAGTGGCGGGGGTGGTGGAGGTGGCGGACGCGGTGAGCTCAAGTGCCTCGCGGCTATTGTACCCCATCTCGCTGCCATGCTGCTCTGCCCTGAGGAAGGGAGAACCCGAAGGACATCCCGACCCCGCGCTCTTATGCAGATGGGATCAGAGGTCCTTACTCCTCAGAGTGGCAGACAGCCATGGATGCAGAGATGGCATCTTGGAGCAGCAGCAGCCTCGTCGGCATGAGCCTTTCTCACCGCAGCAACTTCGCTAGTGGGTTATTTTGCGAGGCCGCTCTGGTGGCAGTATTGCAGGCACTGGTGCTGGAGTGATTGGAGCTGAAGGTGTTGGTGCTGGAGGTGCTGGTACTTGAGATACTAGAGATGGAGGTGCTGGTGCTGGGGGTGCTGGTGTTGGAGGTGTTAGAGCTGGCGGTACTGGAGGTAATGGAGCTGATGGTACTTGTGGTACTAGTGCTAGAGGTGCTGATGCTAGAGATGCTAGAGCCGGAGGTACCGGAGGTACTGCACAGCAGCGACCGTTTTTCTTGCCTCAGCTGCAGCCGTTACTGCCACCACCTAGCTTGGCGCTTCACTAGATTCTTGGTCTTCCTCCCTCCACCGGCCTTACTCCACCTCTCCTGTACCTTCCGCCTGACCAGTCGCACTGCCTGTTTCTTCTTCTTCCACTTAGGAGGCAGAATCCCTGTCAGAGCGTTGTGAGCCTGCGTCTCGTCCCGCCTTGCATCTTCACACTGTTGGTCGAGCTCCTTGTGTTCGTCCTCCACCAGGCCCCAGCACTCACACTATGACACTTCGTCTTTCTCTGTTGCACAACGTATTGCCCTGTCGTCTCCTCCGGCGTCTTCTCTTCCTGAGGTTCATGACACTGAGTCTGACCTTGCTCGTGCCGCTAGTCCCACTGTCACTTGTCTCCTGGCCACACTTGTCGGTGACCCTACTTTTGAGTCTACTACAGTGTCTGCCTTAGTCGCTGAGCTTGTTGACTTTGCTGCTACCTGTCGTCTTGACTATTTTGTGGATCTTATTATTGAGTCTGGACCTGACTGTCCTCCGTCCGTCGAGGGTGAGCTTTACCTTGTTAATGACGTCCTTGAGGATAGGCAATTTGAGCTCGAGTGCCTCGCGGCTGCTGATCTCGCTGCCGTGCTACTTTGCCCTAAGGAAGACCCAGATGCACTAGACATCCCGACCTTGCGCTTTTACACAGAGGTGATCACGGGTCCGTACCCCTGTCAGTGGCAGACAGACATGGATGCAGAGTTGGCTTCCTGGAATTCCACAGGCACCTACGTTGATACAGTTCCCCCTCCTGGGGCGAACATCATCGATGGCATGTGGATTTTCAGGATGAAGCGGCCGCCCGGTTCTTCGCCTACCTTCAATGCACGTTACGTTGCATGAGGCTTCAGTTAGCGACACGAGGTCAACCTCGTCGATACTTTTCTCCCACCCCGAAGATGACCACTCTTTGGGTGTTACTGCACGTTGCACCACAGCATGACTACAAGCCCCACTCGCTTGACTTCTTCACAACCTTCAGGCAGGGCAGCCTTCACGAGAAGATCTGGTTGAGCCGCCCGCCTGACTTTACTGGTTCGTTTCCTGAAGGTACCCAGTGGAGCCTCAGACAGCCAGTCTACGATCTCCGCCAAGCGCCTCGGGAGTGGAACGTCATACCGAGAACTACACTTGTGGCTCTTGGCTTTGCTCCCTCGATTGTGGTCCATTGTTGTTTCTACGCAACGACTCTTTCTACCACTGTTCTACATCCTCGTGCACATCAATGACCTGGTTTTTCCAGCTGTTGGCATCCTTGTGAATGTTGAGCTGTAGAAGAGACACACTTGCACTGAACTAGGTGAGTTGTGCAGCTATCTTGGCCTGCAGATTACCCAGGACAAAGCAAGGTACACCATGACTTTGTCGCACATGATCACAAGAGGAGTTGCAATCTTATGCGACATGGAAGGGAGGTGTAGCAAGGCAATATTCGTTAGACATGATCACAAGAGGAGTTGCAATCTTATGCGACATGGAAGGGAGGTGTAGCAAGGCAATATTCGTTACCGAAGCGGAGTGTATACCAAGGACATGCGAGGGCTTGGAGAGCCAGCTGGAAAGTACCGGATGGGAGGAAGGGGAAGGTTGCAACAGTTCATGCACGCAGACCGCGAGTACAGTGATGGGTCAGGATGGCGAGGGTTTCAAGCAAGCCAAGTGGAGGACAAAGCCGAGGTGGTTGTAAGCGGTTGAGATTCATCCTTGTACATACGGTGGGCTGAGATGTACGAATGAGATTATCTGCATGTCGGATGTATGCTGTTTGCGTGTGGATGTGTGCAGGTGCAGGGTCACAACCAAGCGTGGTAGCAGGTGTAGGATGAGCTAGAGTAAACCCATCTTGCACATAGCCTGCTAACTTCAATTCCTAACCTACTTCTTTGTATGTTTTCTCGCTATACTGGAATGGTGTGTGCAAATTCGTTCAAGCGCTAGCTAGCCAGTCAAGCGCTATACTGGAATGGGTTAGTGAATTTTTCGACATACAAAGAAGCAGGGAGCGGCTACATGCCGCTGAGATCCGGACGGACGTACCAGCTAGTTAGCTCTGGAGGTAAAGAGACGTCGGACGAGATGCACGAAGGCGCAGACCAGACCGGTCGCGGTGCGGTCGGATCGGGGAGAGCGTCAGTAGGAACAAGCATGGAAGAAGGCGAGCTGTATAGGATTCCGCCACGACGGCGGAGTCAAGGAGATATGCTGTCGGCCGGGAAAGAGGACCCAGAGCGACAGAGCGGAGAGTCAGGAAGCGGGCTATTACACCGCGCCAGCTCAGCGCAGCGGCAGCGATGGGCGGTTGCAGAATTAGCTGAAGGATCGGAAGAGATGCTGAACCAGCGGTCCGAGAAGTGGAAATACATAAACCTGCCAGAGATCAAGGTCCCGGAGAGATTCGTCGGGCAAGCGGGTGTGGGGGCAGACTTGCGCAACTATCTGATGCAGATTGACAACGTACGCTATCGTTGGAAAAGAGACGGGCTAGAAGCAAAAGATTTTTTCAGAGGACTCTCGAACACCTTGGCGGGCGAAGCAGAGACATATTACTGTATCACTCGAGAGGAGCTAATCGAGAAGCATCGGGGTTTGAAGG